ATATCATTCACCAAGAAATTAAAACGATTGAAGACCTGATAAGAGTCTCATTCTTTTGCTGAAAAATGCTCATATTTCGATTAAGACAGTTGTTGTTAACATCATATACCTCATTGGTACCTTTATAGGCAACAGTCAGCGTATCCATCATCTCCTTGGCTGATCGACAGTTCTAAACAAAGTGGTATATGTGATAAAGAAGAGAGTTTCCAATAACAGCACATGCCCTGGCATCAAGAGTAACAAGATGTTACTCTTCATCATTGATTTCATTAACATATTTTTCGACTATTTCATCTTCTTTGACAATGTCCTTTATGGGATGGTACATAAGAACATATGGACCCTTTTTTACGATATCTATCATTAAGTAGTCCATAGCTACAAGGACCATCATTGCCTTCGACTTCCATATGGTAATGTTCTTTTATTCGAAGTATGGAATTTTCTTACCGGAAGTACTTTTAGTGAGATTCCATATTTCACGGAAGAACCCGACCTATGACTTTTCCCTTTCTACCCTTCGGCCTAGAACACAATTCAAGGTAAAATCTATTAACTATCATTACCCCTCCTTCAGTAAGGACTAAAATTTGCCTCCTTAAGGCCTAAAACCTCACATAATCGACTTCTGGTCCATTGCGCAAAAATGGAAGCAAACAGGATGTTACATGGTCAAAGTCAACAACCCTTATTGTCAAATATCCATCCTCATGTCATGAAAGTCCACTCGGTATGATTCCAACTCGATTCGACCCAACCTTGGCAACTCAGTCAAAGAAACCACCTAAGCTGACATCATGACGTGAGCACCCACTCTCACGTCGTGAGCTCCAAGAATCTTAACAGAAATAGGGTTTCAAATCTCACATCGTGAGATCTTATGTCTCACGTCGTGAGCACCGTCTGAAGCTAAAAGTCACCACTTTAAGTCCTTATTCTATTAACTCCTCAAATCCATCTCATCCAGAAATTAAAGGGGACTCCTAGAGTCTGTAAAAATGTCTCCTTTATGGCTATGCTAGCACCATGCATGATCCAACCCATTCTAGGTCAAAAGTGAAGAAATATGCTTCTAACTCTCATGCATGCCTCTTAAATCTCACCAACTTTCAGATCTAAACAATATGATGATCAGGGAACTCTTAAAATTCCATAAAGTTGCTAACTTTATGGATTTACTTCACTCAAGCATGCTAAACAGAAGGAAAGTGGACAAATCCTAGATCTACCCATGATATGCAATAAAGTTTGGATCTTTGATACATACAAAGGTCCAACAACAAGAAGAGGTGATGATAATGTTGCTACTTATCCCAATCCACCAATAGATTACCCATTTCCTCTTCTACTCTCCTTCTTCAAGCTAGAAATGGAACCAAAATAGCTAAGAATTCAAGGATGATAAATCTCAGGGTTCTCTGGGGCTTAGAGTGTGAGGGAGGCGGAGGGTGAACAACCCTAACCCCCTCTTTCCTTTAAATACCAAAATTAGGGTTTTTGGTCCTCAGACTGCTCTAACATCACAAGCATTGGATTGCTCACGTCACGAGTCTCAAAATGATGTGTGGGTCCAAATTACTCGTCACGATGTGACAAACATTCTTCACGTCGTGAGAAGGGCCAAAATTGAAAACCTTTAACTTAATAATAACAATAATATGCACCTGACCCGAGTGTTACACATAGAAAGGAGATTACTGTCTACTCATTTGAAACCAAATGCAGGACTGAAATGGGATTGAATTCCGATTCCGACCAAAAGTAAATGGTAATACATGTTGTGAAAGAAAACTACCACCGTTTTTTGCATATTGGTCTTCAGAAATTGTCTTCTCTTTGGTATTTCATCTTTGAACATTTGTTTGACCATTTCTACTGAAACATTACCAAGACCACTACACAAGACACACACAACAACTATATTAAAAATAATACAATTTACAACAATTTTTTAAAAAAACGGATACAAGAAATTAGGAAGGAAATTATAGAACTACCCTTCTTTATCAACACAATTGCACATATTGTTTAAAGTTTATATTCATGAAAGATTATTTCATAAAATAATAAAAGTACCTGACATCTATAATTTCGAGGAGCTGGTTTTGATATTTTCAACCCAAAACCTACATGTAAATAGTGTCATTGACTAGTCAACTCAACGAACTTTTACAAAAGTTGGAGTTCTCTAATATGTCAAAAAAGGGGAAAGAACTTACATGAACTTTGGCGGTAGACTTTGGATCAAAGAAGAATTTGAGTGTCTTGGCTCCTAAACAAAATTTATTAAATTTAAGGTCAAAAATTGACAAATTTTATTAAAATTAAGTAAAGCAGCAGCCTACCTACCTTACCTTGTGACAAAAACCTTAAACATTCTTTGTTCATCCATTAATCATTAGTTACATAACTGTTTTTATAGAGAAAATATAGAAATCACTTGAATTTTCATTATTTTATCGATTTAGCCACTTATCTCTTTTATGTTGTAATTAAACCATTATACCTCTTTTGACAATATTAAAAAAGCTTTCCACCAGTTGCTCGGTTGTGATGTCAAGGAAAAATAGAAAAAAAATGTAGAAGTGAGTTTCACCGTTTTATCGATTTAGCCATATACTATTATTCTTTATCAATTTAGCACTAAACTAGTATTATAATAATCATAATAAAAATGATACTTCAATGCCTAAATAGATGAACGGTGAAAGTACAACTTACATCAAAACACATAAATATCATACAAGGCTATTAAGCATTAAATGAAATGAAATTAGCATATCATAACAACAGGAAAGCACGTGTACACCACAAGAATACAATTTAAACATGGCAGAGTAGGAGAAAGAAGATTAACCAAGCTCGATATGATGATTTAAAATTTGAAGAGAAAATTGCTTACTACATTAACTTTATCGTAGGTTGTCAAATACAATAAATAGAATGAATTTGGTTTAAGTGGATGCTGATAACAAGGTTGCAATAGAAATATGCTAAAATTAACATCAAAATTGAAGTGTAAAATGTAGGGTAAATTACACCAATCGTCTCTCGTACATATACCAGAAAGCGTGTTTAGTCTCTATTTTTAAAAATTAACTCGGACCGTCCATCGGGTTGTTTTTTCTTGCACGCTTAGTCCCTCCGCACATAAAAAGACCATTTTGCCATTGTTTATTTCTTTTTTGATTTGTTTATTAATTATTAATTAGTAATCTATTAAAAAATTGTTTAATTAAATATAAACACTACCACCACAATTATTATATCTCTCTTATCTTTTTCTTTCTCAACTCCGACAACCACCACTTATCACCACCCGAAACCACCACTTGTCACTACCGTTAACCACCACCCATCACCACCAGAAACCACCATATGTCAATCCTATTTCTCTCCCACCTCCTGCCACCATCCACCTCTAGCCACCAGCCGCCTCCAGTGCCTCCACTTATCACCGCTAACACCTCATGAACAACCGCTAGTCGACTACAACTAGAAACGACCATTTACCACCACTTAACCAAACCAAACCAAACTTGAAACCCTAGGTGGCATTCGAAACCCTAGGCGATGGTGTTAAAAAACCTCAGATCGGAACCCAGATACAATGAAGGCGGTGATGTTCCAACCCTGAGACGATGAAGGTTCGAAGCAACTCACCTCTGAGACAAATATGGTACACATCATCCTCCAGATCTGTGATCTTTGACGAACTACCATCTTCGTCTCCCGATTTGATAGTCCATCGAACACCCACTTCGAGATCTGCAAGCTTCAACGAACAAGTAGTGACAAAGAATGTGTAGATTTGAGATGGTGTAGATATGAGATGAAGAAGGTTTTCAAGAAAAGAAACAGTCACAAAGATGAAGGCGATGACAACGAAGACGATGATGGTGTAGATCTGATGAAGAGGTCACGTTCTCCGGCGAGACGGCAATCACGACAATGTGACAGTTCCAAAGAAGATGAGGCGTTTGTGAACAATGAAGCTTTTGATGGTGGTGGAAAAGGAGATTCAGGTGGTTTTTTTAGGATTTTAGACAAAGATGTGAGATGGTGGTAGGTGACGGCGACACAATAGAGATAGAGATTTTGGTGGTGGTTCAGATATACGGCGGTGGTGGTGAATATTCCTGGTGATGGTATCGAGAGAGAGAGAGAGAGAGAGAGAGAGAGAGAGAGAGAGAGAGAGAGAGAGAGAGAGAGAGAGAGAGAGAGAGAATTAAGAGTTTTAAAAAGGTGGGGCCATATTTATTTTTTTAATTAAAAAAAATGATAATAACATTAAATTAATTGGAAAAGAAATAGACAAAGGGCATTATGGTCATTTTAGATCTGTCATGGACTAGATGCGCAACAAAAACTAGATGCGCAACAAAAACGTATATCAGGGACAAAAAGTGCAAGTTTTATGCAAACCATGGACGGTCCGAGTTAATTTTTGAAAATAGGGACTAAACACGCTTTTTGGCATGTGTACGAGGGACAATTGGTGCAATTTACCCTAAAATGTAAGAAGCATCCCTATAAGCAAAAGGAAAACACAAATGAATTGGTCAATTAAAATATAAAATTTTAGAGAAAGCTCGCCTTATCCATAACACTCTCAACTTTGAGCAAAAACCTCTGATAATCCAAGAGAAATAGGCTAGGTACACTTCATAAATTAAACCAATCAATTGTAAAATCCGAACATAAAATTGTATATTTATTGAGGATAGTTGTTCCATAAATATATAGTGTGTATATATTTATGTTATTATAAACTACGTCCCTAATGATAGTTGTTTTCATAGATGTTCAGTAGAAATCGGATAAGTTTTCTATCATTTTTTTCATGTTTTTTAGTCCCTGATCTATAAACCAAGTTAAAAATACAATGTAGTTAGAAATGTTGCATTTTGAAGCGGTCAATATTAGCACTCCATGGTTGTGTCTACCATAATCCTTCCTCCATTTGATCATATTAGCCCACATTTGTTTTGTCTTTGCAATATCAAACTACATTTCCTTTTTAAAATTTGTTTCATCAATCATTATGTCAAAATATCACCCATTATTAATCAAACCAGTAGTTCAAAGTAATAAACTGATACACCAAGAACAAACTCAAAAGGGGTTAATTATGACCTTAACATCATGTGGTAAGGAAATCTTATGCTTCTTCTCCTCAGACTATTCAATGTTGTTTTTTTCCTAAACCTATTGAAAAATTATAACTTCATTTCCAAAATTTTCAGTGATATGCCATTGAAAATTCAAAATTTTGTGAAGGAATACTGATAAATTATGAACAAATGTGTATCAGAGTGTTCATCTTATAGAACGTGTTCCTATGAGTGTTCTGTGTTTCTAACTCAATCGCTATATTCTTGACCTAAAAATCAAACATGAATCCTTCAAAGAAGATGGGAATAGTGAAGGGAAGAGTATTGGAACAAAATTCATACCAACAATAGGTCGAGACATTTGAAACTCATAATTAATGCCGTTTGAATTTGAGCCCCTTGTCACATTACTAGAAACATGGGTTTTAGAAACGGACGAATCCGTCGCTAAGTTTTGTTTGCAATGGATTAGCAACCGATATACTCCCTAGCTAATTAAAGTGTGGCTAATGACTTGGCAAGGGTTCCAACGAAAAATCAATTTTTCCTTGTGATAAACTTAGCGACGGAGTATCCATCGCAAAATGGTCCCTTAATACAGTTATTTAGGACATTGGCGACAAATTTGATAACAATATTTGAACGTTGTTTTGTCGCAAATCTTCATATTAGCTTTTTTTTTATATTGTCGCTGATCCATTGCAAATTTCATATAATATTTTTAATTTTCAGTCGGTAATCACTAGTAAAATTCACAAATGATTTTCTTATTTTTTTTTTATTTTCCATCGCTGATCCCTAGCAAACTTCATATATGATTTTTTTTAAATTTATTTTTCGTCGTTGATCCCTCGCAAATATATAACTTATTATTATTTCTTTATTATGAATCTAAAACAAAAGTTATAAAAAATCAACTAATAATACAATCTCAAAGCAAACATTTAACATTTAAAGAACACTAATAATCAAAACAATATTATAAAACCCAACAAACATTACCATTGCAATGCCAAAACTATCAAATTTATCAAATCATCCAAAAACATAGATATCAATGTTTACCAAATCATCCAAAAACATCAAATATTAAAATCTACCAAAGAATCAAAAAAGATCATATTTTCCTCACCCATTTATTGATGTTTGGCTTCCATTTCTTGCAACTTCAGCGTCCATCTACCCACACATCTCTTCTCGTATATGTTCATACACAACCAACAGTTAAAACATGGATATACGATGTTATAATATGGTATTTTTGTAAGTACAATGCTAGAGTAGGAAAATTTTATAAAGTACAATGTTATAATAGGAAAGTTTTATAAAGTAAAATGTTATGATAGGATAATATAATGGACAAAATTAAACGAACCTCTTGGGATGTTATTGTACTAGATGCTCCTTTCAAAAAGCTCATTGGATTAGACAAAGATGTGAATCCTAATATTCTTCCTTTTTTAAAAAGCAATGTACTTTTTAGAACAAGATAAAAAAAAGAATACAATTATGGGATGACACCACATTAGAGCATTGTACTTTTAAATATAAGATACTAACAAAGAGAACTAGAACTAAACCATACTTACTATACCTTCTATACAATTATCATGAATATAAAAATTTTATAATTCAGTTTTTACATATAAGAAAAAAGTTCCAATAAATTAAAGTATATTAGCAGTGGTTAAATCACCTTAAAATCATGCTCTCATGGTTCACATAAAAAATAGAAAGATGAGTGAATATAAAAATTAAATAAATGAAAGTATATTGTTGTTTCTTGAAAGCAATGTATAACAAACGTTTTGACTCTAGAATTGGAAATACCTAAACTTTAGCACAATGAAGTATCCAAAACTAGATTTGTCTTGTCAAATAAAGGAAAGTATATTGTTGTTTCTTGGAAGCAATGTATAACAAATGTTTTGACTTTAGAATTGGAATTACATGAACTTTAGCTACCTTTGGCTTAATGTACTCCTTAGTAGACTTTTTATTGTGCAAGCTTGCATAAAGTCTGATGCAAAAAATTAAAAAAAAATAATAATAATAGTTATATTGAGAATTATATTTCTAAGGTTCAAACACAGGTCTGATGTAAAAGATGAAAACTAAGGAAAACAAAAGATAAACCTAATGCATAATGAAGAAAACAGAGGAGAACAGAGGCTTGATAATTACTTCTCTATCAGTGTCTGGCTAAAGCAGGACCTGGAAAATCCTTATCAATGAACCATGGAATTTGTTAAATTAAAGAAATATGTTAAATTAAATATGAAATACCACAAACACAATGTAAGGCCTATAAAACATAAAACCAAAAGTTATGTTAGAATTCAAAACTATGTAAATATAAAAAATAACACTTCCAAAACTAACTATCATAATCAAATATGCCAACAACCTCCAAAACAAGAAAATGCCTCAAAAGTAATCTCCATATCTTCCAAAAAGTATTTAGAGGAAATGGAATGATTTATCTACCGACATGGTTGGAATAATAACTATAGGTTAGGACATCAAGTTGTTTTCTTTTTCTGTTACATGAAACATATCTTCTTCTACACAAATAGATACAATGAACTAGCTGAACTTGATGAAAAAATAGCTCATAGAAGATTTGCTAGAAAAATTGCCGATAGATTTGGCTCAATAACATACGAAATATTATAAATAATTTTTTCTTGAAGCTAATCAGCTCAATGGTAAAGGCTTAGTTGGGTTGGCATGCATTAGAAAGTGTAGTCATGGTAATTTGAACGACACCCACAACCATGTATATTATGTGGTTATTTTAGTTTCAAGTTGGAAGATATGGTAATCCATTCTTACTCAACTCATTAGACACCTTATTTATCACCTAGTGACATGACATTACGTGATTATCATCTACAAGTATGAAACCAATAGATTCTACTTAAAGCAAACATGGTAAGATAAGTTTTCCATGGCTATTTACTTTTTCGAATGACGAGGGATATTTAAATCTTTTTTAAAATCTTGTAAGGTGTTGTTGCTTTTTTGAATCAACAACCATTTGGTACAAAGGACTATGCATCGGGTATAATTATTCCAGCATGCAAAGTTGTTATTGACATATCAAATGCTGCAAAAGATTTGATTAATCAAGAAGTGTCTCCTACGACTGAGATTTAGGAACACATGTTTGTGAGTGGAATAACACTTTTTTGTGTCCAAAAGTAGCTTTTGTGTTTCCAGGATGATGATACAACATAGCATCCTAAATTTTGCTTAAAATTAGCAAACCTCAAAAGAATAGAATCTTTAACTCCAATTCCAATGAATAACACGAGAAGCCATAAACAATTTACCTTCTCTACACTTTGATATTCTTATATATGTTGTATAACCCGCAAATGATGAGATCATAAGGAAGGAAACTCCAGCCAACAGAACAACTACTTTATACCTTGGACTAGAAAGCCCTAAAATTAAGAACCACAAGTTAAAATTAGCATCATACCCCTCTAACCATAGGCCAAAATGAAATGTTATACCCCCATGTACCCCTTGAAAAATCACAAACATTCCCTTTTTGACAACTTTCAAAGTTCAGTTTTATGGAATTACCCGTCACATGGGTCAATTTTGAAAATGATGAATTTTTCATGGGACAGAGAAAAATGTGTTCAAAAACTTGCAACAACCTTTACAATTAATAATTGCACCTAATAATCAATGGATTGATCAACAATCAATTTTTATTCATACTTTGAATGTTAAATTGGTATACCAAACACTCTAACTAAAAAAGAGACATAAATTAGACAAAATGAAAAAGTAAACAAATATCTTTAAGATTATCTTCCAATTTCGACAGCCTTAATAACAGAGTATTGTCAAAATATGATTGAAATACAAAATCACCCTTCTTAAGTCTCAGTCTCAGAATATCTTCCACATGGTAATAAATGAGATTATAACAAATCCTATTGAGCCTTTTACTGAACACATTATGAATTTTTTTTCTACATTTAAAAAATATGTAGATTTTTCTACATTTACAAATTATAGTTGATAGATTAGTTTATCAAGCATGTATTTTGGTTGTGATGCAGGAACCTCATTACAATTTACAAATGGTGCAAGTTTGGTTCCTCTTGTTAGCATAGACGTTTGGGAGCATGCATACTATTTGCATGTCTGTATATCTTAAGTAGTGAATAATACTATTTACGGGTATGTACCACTTAAATGATTAATTAATCGTACAGGTAAATGTTTGAATGTATTACCTTGTGAAGAAGCATAGATAGATGCCATTATATAGTTGAAGGTCTTAGAAATTAACTTCCTAACAAAGAAAAAGGCCTTTCATATGGCTATGATTTAACGTGATTCGTGCAAGTAATGTTGGGATATGAGATGGATGATGATTGAAAAAGAAAAGAAGGGAGAAATTATATCTTACGTAATGTGCAGCTGAACTAAACCTAACCTTATATACGACTAAAGCAAAGAAAAATAGAAAATCAAGAGATTTACCTGAATCGGAAGTAGACGAAGACTAATTTTAGATTTGCTCGATTTTATGGTCATTGTGGCGGCTGCCGGAATCATAAGCTGCAATGGTGAGTGGTGTCGTCATGTATTTGAAAGGAAAGGGTGAAATTAGGTTTAACAAAGTGGAGGGAACTTACTCCAGAGTGATAAAACAAATTTGGGAAGGAAGGAAACTTACGCCAATTTCGTGAAACTAGAATTAAGTTGTGTCACAACTAGCATTTTTAGCTAGGAATTATTTCTTCATGAAAAATCAACTCTTGTATAACTTGTAATCTAAGTTGATGTCATGTACTATTCTCATTCAAAATCAACCAATTGAATCAAAACTCCTGAGTGAAGTTCAAAACCAAATTCGATACATCTCATATACTCAACTGTGGGGTTTGAAACCCTAATTTCCCAGTTCAAACCCCTATTGGACTAGAAATCATTTATTGGGCCTAATAGGCCAATAAACTCACAACTTGGTTATTTGGGCTCTAATTGGACCCACTTTCATGAAACTATAACCTTTTGGGCCATGTTGGGCCTAAAATATCTCATTTCACTTTTATGGGCCTTATTGGGCCTCAAATGACCCAATTCATTCTCATGGGCCTTGGACAACTCTCTTGAACAGTATTTGGGCCGTAAACCCCTTTCCTTACCAATTTTGGGCCGTAAAACCTTATATAGGCCCAATGGGCCGAACACTTCTACATTGGGCCTTGTAATTTCGAGAATATACAATATTAGCCCAACATACTTTTTATTTCTTTCCCTCCCCTCTCATCCCCGGTTTTATAAAAAAAAAAGAAAAAAAAAGAAAACAAAACAAACAAATGAATGGTTTAAGGCTTGACACCTCCTTATTACATGGAAGATATCCATGTTAATTACATCACAAACATCCATGTTCAAAGTCTTAATCCTTCATGTAATGACCATCTATCAAATCCATTCCCTTCCCTTTCTTATTCTCGGCCTAGGAGCAACCCTACCTCCATCTCTAATTCAAACTTCACTTCCACTTCTAAAATCCTCTCTAAATCTCAAGAAACCTCTCATTTCCTCCAAGAAAAATCGTGTATGCTTGGGTGTGTGTCCAAGAATACTTCATTAAAGAACATCATCTTGGTAAGATACCCTATATTCTAGTGATTATCTTCATCATCTGATAAATCCTTCATCCATTAACACCTCATTTCGTGACCCATGCTCTAGATCCATCTTAGGTTTGAAAAACTCCACTCATGGAAGCTTACTAGGGCCGAGAACTCATCCATTCTTCATCAAAACGGAAACCATCAAACCAATGTGAGTTCATACCCCCTATTTTCGGATTTTACCATATTTTGGGGGAGAATACAAGTTTTTTTGTGTAGATCTATGCGTATATGCATGATTATGTGTGTTTTTCATGTTATATGTTGTGATCATGTGTTATAGGCTACATAAACTCAAAAATCAGCTCTTAACAGAAACGTTTTGGTCTAATTACGGACTGTTTTGACCACCTTGATGGTAATATTTCTCAAAACTGTTTTACATGAAAAAATTTCAGGTTCATATCTTTAAAATGACTACTCTCACGCCTTCATATGATTTTTCTAAAATTTTTGACGATTTTTACAAAACTGCCTCTCATTTTAGGAATAATCTCGGACCGGTCGGTGAAGATGAACAATTTCACACTGGTTTGAGGCCATTAAAAATTATGAGAAAATTTTTGAACAAAGTAGACACAATTTCCAAGATCCCAGAGTTTGCGGATCCAAATTTAGACTTACGATGAATTTTCTATAATTTTTATAAAAATAGGGACAGAAAAGACAAAAACCAAAAAAATCGTTTTAACTTACTAAAAGTGCTTACACATGTGTTAGATGCAAGTTTATATAACTTATACATACTTTTAAAACATCTAGACATGTTAACTTATATGTATTTATATATATATATATATATATATATATATATATATATATATATATATATATAAATTGTCTTGACAAACAAACGTAATAAACTATATTTAGTATATAGTTGAAGGTCGCAAACCACACTTTCAAAGGACACACAATCATTTAAAGGCATAATTATCTTAATTTCAAGGTAAAACGGGTTAAACATAGCATTCACATCCTTATTCGGCCTGGAAATAATATACATGTTTAACGGGCCTTAGTTGTTCTTTTACATGTATATTGGGCCTGGGATATACATTTACATTCCTATTGAGCCTAGAAATAATATACATGTTTAGTGGGCCTTAGTTGTCCACTTACATGTTTATTGGGCCTGGAATATACCTTATATGTTTATTCGCGTAAATTTGATTAAGGATCTAGTGAGACGTTTCGTTCGGCACCAAATGAGTGTACAAACGTAGCATGTAGTTATAACCAGAGTCTCCCGGAGAGAGAGCGTGAGTTTGTGTATATATCTATACGAGGGTGACGCCCCACACCTGAGCTGTTCGCTACAGTTAGACTAGGCCAGTCTAGGGTGATAAACTGTACCTTACACAAGTCGGCGTCTCTCAGACGTCATGACAGGCGAAATTGTCATTATCAAGTATGGTTATAACGACTCACTTAGAGGAATTAACACCATTGCAAAATTTACGGGAAACAATCTTTTATGGATAACATGGTAACTTACACGCGTCAATACTCGTACTCAGATGTTGAAATTTCAACGTTTTTCATAATCAGACAACATCGGGTTGTCTAGGGCATTCTTTTTTTATATTCTCACAAACATTAACACACGCGCATTAATACAAGATCGTACACAAACATTTCAAACCATTTTTCGGAAAATATCGGATTTTCTGGCAGTTGCAAAGTAATACAAAACAGTTTACTCAAACATGCTTATGAACTCATCAACATTATATATGTTGACATTTTCAAATTAACTTGTATTCTCAGGAAATCGTTGAGCAGGTTGGTCAGCAAGAATACCTGGATATTTTGGTTATGTTCCGTTATCTACTTTTTGGATATTTTGGCATGTAATATTGAAATACAATACTTGATGTAAACAATGACAGTCGTAATATTACATGTGTGATGATGATGATGTTTTGTTTCAATTATATACACTGTGATGATACTACAAGAATGAAGTCACCCAAGCCCCCCGACGTTTCCGCCGTCTGGTTCGGGGGTGTGACAAGTTGCGCCAATTTCAGTGAGAGATCAGCGATAGAAAAAACAAAACGTGCATACCGAATTATAAAATGATTGTCTAAAGCCCACACTAAATGCCTTTATCTTCGGCCGGTTAGCTAGAGAAGGGAGTGCATTGATAAACAATTACGAGATCCGTAACTGATCCCTCGGTAAATCCTCGTTAATATTCTATATGTTGAATTAATAAAATGATTGTCTACAACATCGTAGATCCATCGCAAAACCCTCGTTAAGCCTAAAATTTTCTAGAGAATTTATCTGTCACTAAATCCGTCGCTGAAACTAAAGTTTCTAGTAGTGGTTAGGGCAAATGACATTGTAGCACATTAAAGTTTCGTCATTTGTCTGATTTGGTCACTAAAGTTATTTTGTTGTGCAATAAACCATAAACCATTAAACTCATTTGACCTACCAATTAAGCCATTTTTTTCTGATTTTAAAAGGTTTACCGGTCATTTCAATTACATGTCATTTAATATTTACTTTTAAAGGGAAAAATATTCCATCTCATCTTTTCCATTTCTAATAAACTTATATATTTGGTCCTTCGATGACCCACCACCGTACACCTATTCTTTCACACCGAATCTCCTCATCTCTTTCTTCTTCGTGAGTTGCTAAGCCTCAAACCATTCCCATCTCCATCGTCAGTAACTAAATCCACAGGAAGTTCACTCGTCTCATTAGCAATCAGTGCTGAAAATTTTTGAGGAATCAGAAAAGATAATCACACAATTGAGTTTGGGGGGGGGGGGGGGATGTAAACTCCTCATCCGATTCAATCATGTATGGGATTCAAGAAGATGATATTGTTCTCTATTGTTGGTTGCCAACGCTTCTTCTCCATCTAACATCAATAATCCATTACAGTTATGAGTCCAGATTTATGCACTCCCGGATCTTGTGGCCCAAAGAACTTCACTTTCAACCAAGGTTGTAGAACTCGTTACTCGGTACCTGCTCCGCCGACTGACTACCGAGTAGCGAGTACTCGGGGAGTACTCGGATTTGGAAATTCATGTAGAAATATTTTTAGGGAAATTATATATGTCAAAATCATAAGTTGTTTGAAATATATAACAAAATTAGATACATGTCAATACACAAAAACTGAAAAACACATAATGGTCTCACTTCGTGAATAATTACTGAAAATTTATGATATATATGTAGTAATAATCACATGAGTGTGTGTTGAATAATAAATCAGTAAGTATATTATACATATTAATTATTGAGTTGACCGACTTTTACAACACTGCTCAGGTCAGTAAGGGTCGATCGAGGAGTACTCGGGATTCTGTAACTCGTCTCGGTAAGGGGCCGAGTAGCGAGTACTCGGAGGAGTAATCAGCCAACTCGGGGAGTTTTACAACATTGCTTTCAACACGAGTCTTCTTCACGAACCAGATTTAATGGTTTAAATATTTGTTCTCCATGTGGATTCAACTACTTAAATAGCTTTTTCACCTCGAGTTCATGTACTCAAAACAACGATAGCGTCTGCACTTCATGTTCTCTTCGTCAAAATAGTTCTTGTTGGGAAATATTTAACCTGAAGCCTCAACAACTTTAAGATCACGGGTCACATCAATTACACAAAATTATTAATCATAATCGGTTCATCAATTTTTGGATTCTTGTTAATTTTAATCCACTTATGTATACTTCTCTGTTTCCTCCTCAAAAAGGGTAAACAAAAGAAGAAAATTTCAGGAGAGAAAGAAACCAACACACCGGTATCATGCCATTGTAGGTCTTCGTCACACCATGTCCAGGTCTCGCTCAAGTTTTCCGACTTTCAAAGCTCAAAGACACCAAAGGACCATCTTCAGGTGGCTTCTCACCGTTGAACTGACCACTTCGGTTAAAAATCGCGATGGAAGTTCTAAAAGCTCTTCCATTTCTCCACACTTAAATCAACCCTCTGCTCATCGTGATGTGAAAAGTTCAAATATTCTCATAGATTTCGATTGGGGTTGTGTAGCTAGGGTCATTCGAACAAGATGATTGAAAACATGAAGACTGCTTCAATGTGGGAGGCTTGGAACACAGAAATGATTAGGATTTAGTTAAATCTGAAAAAAAAGAATGAGACGAGTTGTGAGTAAATAGTTACTGTACCAGACTTGGATTTTGGAGGTTAGACAGTAAGAGATTGGTGGCGGTTCTTTGGTGGGGAGAATTTCCGATGAACACAGTCGGAAGAAAGAAGAAACAGGAACAGTTGTCTTGGGAAGAGAAAAATATAACAAAGGGATAGGGGTAACATGTTCAGGCAGGAAGATAGAGATGGAGATGAGCTGGAAGCTTCCCATACCCATCACACACATCACAGTACCAAACAATAAAGATAAATTAATTACTAATGCCACATCAGATTTTGTTACCGGATAACCTGTTAAATTTTCGTAAAATGACTTAATTGATAGGTCAAATACGAGTTTAATGGTTTATTGCGCAAAAAAATAACTTCAGTGATCAAATCGGACAAATGACAAAACTTTAATGCGCAAAAATATCACTTCAAATCTAGAAAAAAAATATGTATCCTAATTTATATAATCTAGAAAGTAGAAATTGGAGTCAAGATGATAATCATTATGAAAACCTTAGGAAAACCAAAATTAAGGAGTTAAGGAAGCTAGAGCTTAGAAAAACGAGTGACGATATGAGCTAGAAATAAAAGAGAAATAAGAGAGCCCTACATGGAAATGCAACTTACACACTACTAGAAAGCAGAACTGGAAGCTGATAAATACTAATTTAGATTTGCTCGAGCTTATGATCTGAAGCAGCAGTGGATGAACCAATTAACAGATCGAACGTCTGATATATAAATGCTGGTATATATAAAATGCATAGAAATTCTGAAAAAATTGGTCGACCCAGTGGTTGAACTGTGACTCGGTCGCAATATTGGGTCAACTGAAAAGGTGGGTTTTAAAACAATGCTTACTATACACACAAACCGATCCTATGAGTTGACTATATCTTCAATCACTCTAATAATATTAAGAAAATCAAAATATCAGATGAGGTAAGAGTGCCGTTTAATTCTGACGGGTTATACAAATTTTCAACTTTTTATACTCTGAGATGGACTCTTAGAAAAAGCGTGTATTATACACCTCTATATTGGCTATATTCCAGAATGAGTTTCAAGATTAGAACTTTAAAAATACGTAAATAAACTTAATGTCAGTGCTGAAACTAAAATACATGAAAACCCTCTATTGTCCGAATCGCCTTCTTAAAACCATTTGGATCTTGTAGAACATGTTGTATCTTATTTAAGAATCTTCAAGATCAAAACACAATTTTTTATAAGAAAAAACCTACAAACTGCAACATTGTAATATGGATGTACTGAGGGATTAACCATTATAAAAATTTCTTAGTTGTGACAGGAGCAAACACCGTTACTACATGATCCTATGCCAATTACACAAAAGGAATTGCAATCGCTATCCTTATTACAATGTATGGGAACCACACGTTCGCTCATGTTTTCACCATTGCTTTTAGACAGCGATTGAGGGGTGGCTACGTGTTCTCTCTCAGGGAAAGCGCATGACATCTGCAGACCTGCAAAGCATATCTGGTTAGTGTTGAACTTGCAACGTTTCAGAAATTAGAGAAGGGGGGAGAAAAAACTGTACAAGAGAGGGAAAGCAATAATGCGACAAAGAAAACTATCTTCAGTGAAGTTGGCTCCATGTTTTAACACAATATAATAGGAACAGAAGGAATAAGTTTCAGTATGTAACATGATCGTATGCACAAGATATATATAGAGGGAAATTTCGTAACAGTTAAATCAAAAAAGGTAATCAAATTAAAAACACTAATAAATAACTAAATACTGTTTTAAGGAACATTTATGCTGTGAAAGGTAACACATAATCTTCAATTTATTTTAGATCTTTTATTTATGTTGTGAATAAATCGAATAGGCAAAGGAAATTGCAATTTAAATAGAGAAGAAAAATAAACCAATTGTTGAACATGAAAGCTTTGTTTCTTTTGGCATACATTATCAGCAAAAATGCTTTTTTACGAAGAGATATGAGATATATATACTGACCGAACTACTCCGTCGGCTATTACCGACGGAATACCCTCTGCATCGTGACAAAAAAAGAAACTGAACAGTATATCCATTGGCATATTTCCGACGGAATAAAAAGAGAATAATTTTTTTTTAATATCTGTCGTTATTCCTTTGTAAATGTTTATTTATTGTTTTCTTTCCGTCTGTAATACATCAAAAAATAAATAACCCACCTTTAAAAAAACAGAAATGAAATGTCCTTATGATTTTTTCTTTCTACTCATTGTCTTATCAATTTTAAATAGTGACAAGTGGTATATTTAATAAAATCTACCATAATAAATGAAAATGATTTTGCCAAATGTTATCTTCTTATTACATTTGACACATGTCATTTTCTAAGATTTTTTGATTTTTTTTTCTACTTTTCATTTTTTATGTTTTTTATTTTCTTAAAATTTAAAATTCATTTTGTACTAAGAGTTTATATATGATAGATACATTAATTTTATTAATCTTGAGCATAAATGCTCTAATTGTTTCTTTCCTTAGTAAATATTTATATATGGTATCTACTTAATACACATTTCAAGGGATTAACATTAAGCATTTTTAAGTCATGTATATAGGTAAATGTCTTTTATTTCAATATATATATATATATATATATATATATAATATATATATATATATATATATATATACTTAAGATAATACTAAGTAGTTTATCAATCTATAATATTTTTTTAAACGTTATAAGACAATTAAATAGTGTGTGTGTGTGTGTATATATATATATATATATATATATATATATATATATATATATATATAAGACATATAGAAACAATGAATAAAATGTGAATTTACATTTTACAAACTCGAGTCATGTAAAATGTGTAGTGATTAACAATATTTTTATAGCTACACATTTAAATTTATAATATCTCCATTTTAATAATTGAACTTTTAAAACTTGATAACATTTTAGCATCATAATTTTATTTTAGTATTTATAATTGTTTTAAAGATAAAAACATATCGTGGATTCAAACGACTCTAAAGACAAACGCAAACGTATAAAATTGTATTTGGATAAAGAAATTCAATGTTATGTCCACCATGTGAATAGTTGTTTTTATTAGTATACATTGAACTACCTAATTATTATCATTTCTTTTGTATATATTTCGAAAGTTTACTTTAAAAAAAATGTTTTATATTTACACCTAAATTTTTAACATTATTTTTTAAAGTACGTTAATATTTTTATTTGTATATATTGAATACGTAGTTAATTAATGATTATATCCTTTTTATTTACGTAAAAATATTACTTTAAAAAATACATAATGTTTACAAATCTACAAAAATAAAAGAAAATGATTTTACCAAATGTCCTCCTTTGATTACATTTGACACATGTCATTTTCTATGATTTTTTTATTTCCTTTTTTCAACTTGTCATTTTTTTACATTTTTCATTTTCTAAAAATTCTAAATTCACTTTTTAGTAAGAGTTTATATATGGTAAATACATTAATTTTATTAATCTTTAAAATAAATGCTCTAGCTATTTCTTTGCTTAGTAAATATTTATATATGGTAGCTACTTAATACACATTTCAAGGGATTAACATTAAGCATTTTTACGTCATGTATTAAGGTAAATTTCTTTAATTTCATTATAAATTTATATTTACCTATATATACATATATTTCTTATATTTTTCTAAATATACTTAAGAAAATACTAAGTATTTTATCTATCTATAATATTTTTTTATACGTTATATGACAATTAAATAGTATATATATATATATATAATATTATATTTTATACATGTAATACATATAGAAACAATGAATAAAATGTGAATTTACATTTTACAAACTCGAGTCACGTAAAATGTGTAGTGACTAACACTATTTTTTTTATATACACATTTAAATATATAATGTCTCCATTTTAATAATTGAACTTTTCAAATTTGATAACATTTTGGCATCATAATTTTATTTTTGTATTTGTTATTGTTCTAAAGATAAAAACATAATATGGATTCAAATGACTCTAAACAAAAACTCAAACATATAAAATTATATTTATATAAAAGAAATTCAATGTTATGTCCACCATGTGAATATGTCAATAGTTTTTTTATTAGTATACATTGAACTACCTAATTATTATCATTTAGTTTATATTTATTTCAAAAGTTTACTTTAAAAAAATGTTTAATGTTTACATGTAACAACGTAAATTTCAAAACAAATTTTCACTTTTAAAGATATAATTTCATTCATAAATATTCTCAAATCTCAATGTATCACATATCAAATCCATAAAAACACATCCCAAGATCACAATGTATATAACTCCAATAGTGTGTACTGATCATGCCGGTGCCTTCCCGCGATCCTCACTGGTACCTGAAACACATAACACATAACATTGTAAGCATAAATGCTTAGTGAGTTCCCCAAGATACTACATATAACACATACTAGCCACTCGAGGCTATAACTCTGTGGGCCCTCTGGCCCTAACTCTGTGGACCCTCTGGTCCAAAACTCTGTGGACCTTCCGGACCTAACTTTGGAATACACACAGCATAAATCACATAGAAATAATGCAGTGCAACACATCACATACATAGCATACAAGATACTCTGTCACATAACTCTATGTACCACTCAAGGTAAAGTATAGTGAGAAGACTCACCTCGGGTAACTCGGTAAACCTCGAACTCTGAAATACTGCACTAGCCTCCGCCTAATCACATAAATAATTACTCTAATTAATACAACTTCTAAAGGCTAGGCTAACCCCTCTCTATAAGTTCTCTAAGAAGGGTAAAAGACCATTCAACCCCTCTAATGGCTCATAAGTCCAAACACTGACTAAACCCTAAAAGTCAACAAAAGTCAACGGTCAACATTGACCGGCTCGTCGAGTGCACTCGTGTGACTCGACGAGTACATGCGTGTCCTCTTCGCCCCTGGTCCTCACTCGACTCACCGAGTCAACCCTACACTCAACGGGTTATCACAGGTCGCGAATCGCGGGGCAACTCGACTCGACTCGTCGAGTCCACTTATGGACTCGACGAGTTGCTCCCATAACATCTCTCAAATGACCTTCTGAGGTCAGATCTGTTTTTCTAAACTATAGATCTGACCTCCCCAAGACCAATAACCACGTAAAGGTCGAAACTTGCTACACATGCAATGCTTCCAAGGCTTATTTTGGTGAAATCCCCTCTAACATGGCAACCTACGTCCATTTCCTCCATAGAACCACAAAAAGCAGCATGGTTCAGGCTCCCTGGACCTCAAAAGGTCCAGATCTAGAGTTTAGCACTCAATAGGACACTATACACAACTAAACAAGCCATAAAAGGGTATAGAAAACCCTAGATTCAATGCCCTTAAGCAAAACAGTAGGATAGGATCGAATAGCTACCTCAAACTTGAAGATCCAAGCTGAAAACCCACTGAAATGCAAACCTCTTGACCTCCCCTTGCTGGAAACACTTTCTCCTTTGCAAAATCACACCAAAACTGATTAAAAATGCTCAAACTCTCTCACAACTCGCTCACAATCGCTAGGGTATCTCTCTCTGGACTGGTAGCCACAAATGGAGGCCATAAAGGCCTTTAAATAGGGCTCAGGCCCTGAGATTTAGAGTTTCATTTTACAGCGCATCGACTCATCGAGTCCTTCATTAAATCAGACAAGAATTCGCGATCCTACTCGGCGAGTCTGAGCGCCTACTCGTCGAGTCCCTCCCTAAAACTCAAGATAAATACTTAAAATAAGATACCTGAGAATCCGGATGTTACAATTCTCCCCTACTAGAATCAGACTTCGCCCTCGAAGTCTTGCTCAGCAAACAACTCTGGATGCTGCTCCCGCATCTCCAACTCCGGCTCCCAAGTCAGCTCGGACCCTCTCCGATGTTGCCACTGGACCTGTACCAGGGGAACCTCTTTGTTCCTCAGAACCTTGATCTTCCGATCCACAATCGCAACTGGCCTCTCAGCATAATTCAGGCTGGCATTCATCTGAATATCCTCCAACGGTACCACCGCCATCTCGTCGGCTATACACTTCCTCAACTGAGACATGTGGAAGGTATCATGGATCTGACTCAACTCCGCAGGTAGCTCCAGACGATATGCTACCCTGCCCACCCTCGCGGCCACCCTGAACGACCCAATATACCGGGGCCCCAGCTTGCCCCTCTTCCTGAATCAAATCACTCCTTTCCAAGGAGACACTTTCAGCAGTACGAAGTCTCCCACCTGGAACTCAAGCTCGGATCGTCGCCTATCCGCATAACTCTTCTGGCGACTCTGAGCCGTCAACAACCGATGTCTAACCTGCTGTATCTGCTCGGTCGTCTGAAGCACTATCTCAGTGCTGCCCATCACGCGCTGCCCTACCTCTCCCCAGCAAATGGGAGTCCGACATCTCCTCCCGTATAACAACTCGAAGGGAGGCATACCAATACTCGAATGGTGGTTGTTGTTATAAGAAAACTCAGCCAATGGCAGATACGTCTCCCAACTTCCCCCGAAGTCCAACACACATGCTTGGAGCATGTCCTCGAGCGTCTGAATCGTCCGCTCGCTCTGACCGTCCGTCTGTGGGTGGTAAGCGGTACTGAAATGCAGCCTCGTACCCAACTCCTCATG